CCGGCTGTCTCGGCCCGCGCCTGCGGGAAGCTCTGGTTACGTCATCCGGCGGCGCGGGTCCTCGGCCCCGCCCTCGACACTGAAACAAACCCAGAGCTCACGGAGCAGGTTTATTGAACAACAGACTACACGTGTCCTCAACATCTGCCAAGCCGATGCGGAGGCGCGGGGGAGAGCGCTTGGCTCAGGGGCTGGGACTCAGCCACTCGGACAGGTTGGAGACTTCCTGCAGCCACAGTGCGTCCTGCGAGAGGAAGCGGGGCTCGGAGTGAGGACGCCTCGGTAGCGGCCAGGTCCCCGCCCTCCCCTGCGCAGCCCTCCCCTGCGCAGCCCTCGCCTCATTACCTCCGGGCCGTTCCCGGGGTCCGCCCTGCTTCCGCTAGGAGTCATGGAGGCCGCGGGGGGCTCCCCACGCCGCAGAGGAGGCTCTGACGGACTCGGGGCCCTGGCAGAGGGGAAAGCCCATGTTCCCTCCAGGACCTGGTGGAGGCTGCCCTTCTTAAACTTCTTGTTGGCTACTTGCCCGCTGGTCCCTAGGAGAAAACACACACTCATCCCTTGGCCCTGTGCTGGCAAAGGCCCTTGGGGGAAACCCGGGGGGAAGGGAGGAGCTGGGCCCAGCTCTCAGCTCTCCCACCTCAGAGCTGTTTCTTCAGTTCCTGTCCTGATCAAAACCCAGCAGCCCCAGGCCTTCAGGTACAGGCTGAGGCTGCAGAATGATATCACGTCTCTCTATTCCGCCTCAGTTAAGCCTGAGAAGGGGCGTGTGGATTTTACCAAGCCCTCACTTGATCACTGCACAGATTCTTCGTGGAGTTTGCACTTTCCAGCTCCTCCCTCCCTGCCAAGCTGATTCTCCTGCCCGAAATCTGACCTCACTTCTCTCAGTGTATTGGGCAGTGCCAATAGGCAGCCTTCCTATTAATTGACTCACTTGTGCAAATTTAAAGCACTGTTTTGTCCGACAATGCATCCCCATTAGAAACAGATGAGCCAGGTTGCCTGGGTTTGATTTCTGGCTCTGCCATTTACTAGCTGTGTGACCTCGGGTAGGTTTATTAACACCTGGGCCTCAATTTCCTCATCTGTAAAATGAGAAAATAATAGTACCTATACCTAGGTATTATTTTGAGAAGAGCATTTATACATTTTAAAAATTCAGAACAGTGCCTGGCACCTGCATCATACAGGTTCAGGCACCAGTGTCTATGGTTATTTCCAGCCATTTACATGTATTCATCCCTGGCCCTGCAGTATGATCACCATCACATCACATACGCTGACACCTCCCCGTAACACATCAAAGTTAAGGTGGTGTCTGCACCCAGGAGCAGCCTCCAGAGCCCCAAACAGATTGGTAAACAAAACTAAGGAGTTATAGTATCAATACTAATAATCAAGAAAAGACATGAACAAACTGGATTCAGGGCCCCACCCCATCATGCACATCTATAAGTACACAAGCTATGAGAACTTGCTAGTCCTATCATATCAGCTTTTGAGATGGAATGCCTTCTACTGCCCCAGAACACCCATAGTAGTGGTGGGAGCCAACCAAATCCCAGGCGGAAACTGCTATGGTGAAAGGTGCAGTTTGAAGGCCTTGAAGTTAGGCTTTTTACTTCCCAGCTTTGATCCAGAGCTGACTAAAAAGCTGAAACCTTACCTGCATGGAGCTCCGGGCTGCTGTTCTCATGTGCACCCTCTGTGCTCTCCTCTGTATCATTTTTCTCTGGGTGCAGTTGCTTAAAAAATTAGAAGTCCTAAGTTAGTTTTGCAGAAGGCTCATGTGAATCCTCCTACCCACCTCCAACTTCCAAGGTTTCCTTTTGTTAGAGCCTTTGCAGCTTACTCCAGCATTTCCTTACTCCTCTGAACTCTGGTCACTCACCTACTGTCTGCCCCACTTCTCAGGCTCTGTAGTAGCTACTGCATGCCCCTGTTCATTATTTTTATATGTCGATGTCCATTTTTCTCTGTCATAAACTCCTTGAAAGGTAAGGTTCATCATGCTTACATTTCTTTATATCTAGCATAGTACCTTGCACAGGGTAAATGCTCAAAAAATATGACTGACCACAGGGCACGTTTTATAGTCCTCAGTAGCCTTTAAAAGCCCTGCCACATTTGGTTCAATTTGGACAGGGAAACAAAGATACTAAGATCAAAACCCAATTCTAGCTCCTTGTTTTTCAAGAATACAAGTGTATAAAAATAGATATCCTCTTCAAAGTTTAACATTTTTGCGCTTCAAAAGACACTACAGAAAGTGCAACGTCAACATAAGAATGGAAAAAATATTTGCAAATCATATCTGATAAGGAATTTGTATCAAGAATAAAGAACTCATATAACTCAGCAATAAAACAACAAATAATCCAATTAAAAAATGGTTTGACAAAGGAATTGAATGACATTTCTCCAGAGATACATATGCCCAATATGCACATGAAAAGATGATTAACGTCATTAGTCATTATAGAAATGTAAATCAAAACCACTATTAGATACTTTATAACCATTATAATGATGATAATAGTAGACAATAACAAGTATTGGTGAGGATATGGAAAAATTGTAACCATTATATAGTATTGGTGGGAAAGTAAAATGATGCAGCCGGTTTGGAAAATAGTTTGGAAGTTCCTCAAAAAGTTAGATACAGAGTTATGACCCAGCAATTTTACTAGATATATACCCAAGAGAAGTACAAACATATCCACACAAAAAATGTTCATAGCAGCATTATTCGTAATAGCCAAAAAGTGGAAATAACAAAAATGTTCACCAACTGATAAAGGGAGGAATAAAATGTTGCACTTATCCACGGCTTCATTTTCTGTGGTTTCAGTTACCCATGGGCAACCTCAGTCCAAAAATATTAAATGGAAAATTCCATAAATAAGCAATTCATAAATTTTAAATCGCACACCATTCTGAGTAGTGTGATGAAAACTCATGTTGTCCCACTCCATCCCACTTAGGACATGAACCCTCCCTTTGTCCAGCATATCCACACTGTAGACACTCCCTGCATGTTAATAGCCATCTTGGTTATCAGATTGACTGTTGGTGTATCACAGTGCTTGTGTAAAAACATTAATTCATTTAAATGAAAAGGTATGCATGCATAGGGAAAAACATAGTATATATAGGGTTTGGTACTATTCCCAGTTTCATGCATCCACTGGGAGTCTTGGAATGTATCCCTTGCAGATAAGGGGGGACTACTATACATCCATACAATGAAATATTATCTCTATATATAAAAGCCTAAGCGTCCATTTGACAGTTCGACCGGTAGGTATAACGTGCACTGACCACCAGGGGGCAGACGCTCTGACTGGTAGGTTAGCTTGCTGCTGGGATCCGGCCAATTGGGGCTGGACAAGAGGGGCCGAACACATCCTGGATGAATCCAGGCCGGGGGACCCCACTGGTGCAAGAATCCACGCATTGGGCCTCTAGTCCAACCAACCATAAAAAGGAATGAAGTACTCTTGCATGTTATAACATGGATGAATCTTAAAAACATTATGCTAAGTGAAAGAAGCCAGATACAAAAGGCCACTTACTGTATGTTCCATTTATATAAAATGCCCAGTACAGGCAAATCCATAGTGATGGAAAGTAGAATAGTGGTTACCAAGGGATGGGAGTAGGAGAATTTGGTACTGGCTGCAAATCAGGTACAGGTTTTCTTTTTGGCATGATGGAGATATTCTTGAATTTAGTGGTGATGGTTGCACAAATAGTAAATATACTTAAAACCACTGACTTGTACAATTTAAAATGGTAAAATTTGTGGAACATGAATTATAACGGAATAAAAATAAATATTATATCATACTGTTTACTAAAATAAGTTTCCATTTCTAAGTAATTATATTCCAGGGAACATAGAAGGGGTAAAGATGGCCCCAAAGATGTGAAAAAAGAAATAGCATTAGGAAAATTTCCAAATATTATTCCCATCCCCCACGTTTTTTCTTCTTTGAGATAAAGTTTATTCTTTTATTTCACTCTAGCCTAGAAAAATCTCATATAATAGATAAACCTCCTATCTTGATATTGGTCTACAAGGAAATAGCCACATTCAGATATAAAGCACTGAGGCTCAGAGGAGCCTTGTGTACCCTTCATCAGCAGGTTCCCCAGATAAGACGGACCTAGCTATCCTTGGATACACCTCCTTGGATTTAACACTCTGAGACATTTAGTTTTGCTCTCCCCTCCACCCCACCCCAGATTACAATACTTTTCCTCAGAAAGCTGCCTTCCTGTTATTGATCCTACTTGAGTTTCAGTTTTCAGTTCCTACATACATCTGCGACAGGAAGCCCTGGAGTACTATCTTACTGACTGCTTCACAGCCCACTGTCTGCTGTTTCAATACCCAAGCTGAAAATCTCCATTCCTGGCATAACCTTTCCCTGCATATATTCTAGAAAACTCTAAAAATATATTCTCTCATTTCTTCCATCCTCCATAAGCTATATAATGGCCACAGATGGTGTTATTCTTTACCACTCCAGAGGTCAGCACATCTACTTTACCTGTTTAGAAATGGAAACTGAGGGACTGGTTGGTCTAGAGCAGTGGTTCTCAACCTTCCTAATGCCGCGACCCTTTAAATACAGTTCCTCATGTTGTGGTAACCCCCAACCATAAAATTATTTTCGTTGCTACTTCATAACTGCAATTTTGCTAGTTATGAATCGTAATGTAAATATCTGATATGCAGGATGTATATTCATTGTTACAAATTGAACATAATTAAAGCCTAGTGATTAATCACAAAAACAATATGTAATTATATATGTGTTTTCCGATGGCCTTAGGCGACCCCTGTGAAAGGGTTGTTGGACTCCCAAAGGGGTCGCGACCCACAGGTTGAGAACTGCTGGTCTAGAGGTAAAAGAATTTGACCTATTATCATTGATCTTGTAATTTTTAGCTAAGCCACTGGGTGCCACTCTTGTGCCATTAAAAAGTTATCACTAGCCCTAGCCAGTTTGGTTCCGTGGATAGAGAGTTGGCCTGCAGACTGAAGGGTCCCAGGTTCGATTCCAGTCAAGGGCATGTACCCAGGTTGCAGGCATTGGTCAGGGCTCATGTGGGAGGCAACCAGTCGATGTGTCTCTCTCATATCCATGTTTCTGTCTCTCCCCCTTTCTTCCACTCTCTAAAAATCAATGGAAAAATATCCTCTGGTGAGGATTAACAACAATAACAACCACAGAAGTTATCACTAAGTGGCCATTATCAGAGGAAAACAGTAACAATCTTTAGTGGAGAAGCATGAATTCTACTCAATGCCTCTGATTACTCATCTTCACTGGGCTTCTGATCCAGTCCTATGAGGTAACAATGTTACTAAGCTTCAGAGCCAGGAGACCTCTGTAAAAATCCAACCCTTGCCATTTATTGACTGTGATTCTGGGCAAATTAGAAAATTTCTCTAACCATTTTCTTCACCTATAAAATGGAAAAACCACAACCTACCTCACAGGATCTTTGTGGAAATTAAAGTGTAAATCTTGGCACAGAATCATGAACCTTAGGTTCACTAGCCATCTGCCAAGTTAATTGGGCTATGAATGGCCCTGAAGCTATGAGTCATCACTATAGCAACAGAATGGGACCAAAGAGGTCAGATTATTTCCTTTTGAGATCTCACTAGGACATAGGAGAGGCCCAAGCAAAAGGACGTCACAGCCTTAAATACTTCTAGGTCCTGCCCATCTATCCCAGGTGCTATGATAATAGCACATGCCTTAGCCTGACCTATCCCTAGAAATCTGAAGATATGGATGGCTATATTAAATTGAATAGTGGCCCATCAAAAGAGATCTCTAAGTCTTACCGCCACCCCCCCCTGCCGCCCCCCCCCCCTCCAACCAGTGAATATGACCTTATTTGTAAAAAGGGTCTTTGCAGATTAAGGACCTCAAGATAAGACCATGGTGGAGTCAGAGTGGGCCCTCAATCCAGTGACAGGAAGTCAGAGGGGAATCTGCGAGACAAAAGGGAAAGGGCATGTGAAGATGGAGACAGATAATTGGAGTGATGAGCCAAAGATCATCTGGAGCCAACAGAAACTAGTAGGAGCGAGGAAGGATTCTCCCCTAGAGTGTTTGGAGGGGGGATGGCCCTGCTAACACCTTGATTTCAGACTTCTGGACTCCAGAACTGAGATAATAAAGTTCTGTTGTTTTTAAAACACCAAGTTTATGGTAACTTGTTACAGCGACCATGGGAAACTGATACAATGGACATTCACTTTTATTTGTTCAAGTTGTGAGAAGCAGCTTTCCAAGTTGGAGGGAAACCAGCAAGAGCATTTGCAGTGAACCAATGGAATGGAACAACTGATACATTCCTAGGAAGGTGCTTCCTAGAAGGTACATATAGCCATGGAAAAAGGTGTGGTAAAGGGAGCATTTACGGAGGTTTCATTGCAACCCTTAGGTGCCTGGGCATCTCAACTTCCTCATCCAATCAGGCAAACAGAAGTAGGAGAGGGAGAGAAAGAAGAGCAGAAGTGCTAAAGGTCCTGTTATTCTCTTAAAAACAGTGTCTGTAATTTTTAAAAACAAGTTTGAGACATACTAGTAACTTGCATACATACAACAAACTACATACATAAAGTATACAATTTGATAAGTTTTGACATATGTACATACTTGTGAAACCATCACCACAATCAAGATAATGAACATAATCATCTCCCTCAAAAGTTTCTTCTGCCCTTAAAAATGACTCCCTCCAACTCCTATACTTTCCATCTTCAAGCAACTACTGATCTGTAACTATAGCTTAGTTGGCATTTTATAGGATTTTACATAAAAATAATAGTATGTACTCTTGTATTTCTAGGTTTTAAAAAAGTTCAGTATGGCTATTTTTTTTTACTCATCTTATACTTTAGATCCATGCTATTTTGTGTATCAACAGTCCATTTCTTTTATTGCTGAGTAGTCCCTTGAATTGATATACCACAATTGTTTATCCATTTACCTGTCGACACCGGGCTGTTTGGTTTCTGGCTATTAGAAATATGTCAGAGATGCCATGAACATTAATGTGTAAGTTTTTGTGTGGACATATGCTTTCATTTCTTTTGGGTAAATACCTAGGAGAATAGCTGGGTTGTATGCCAAACTGTTCTCTAAAGTGGTTGTACCATTTTTAATTCCTACAAATAGGGTATATGAATTCCAGGTCCTCACATCCTTGTCAACACCTGGTATGGCAGCCTTTTTACTCCAGGTGGGTGTGAAATGGTATCTTATTGTGGTTTTGATTTGTATTTCCCTAATGACTAATGACGTTGAGCATCTTTCTCATATGTTTATTTGCTGTTTCTCTTCTTTTGTGAAATGTGTGTTCAAATCTTTTGCCCATTTAAAAAATTGGGTTGTTTTCTTATTGAGTTTTGAGAGTTTATAAATATTCTGAATACTGTGGTAATGTTTTGAACTACATAACATGTTCACTCTTTTCTCCATCTTCCTGAACATATGGAATACAATTATAATAATAACTGCTTCAATGTCTTTGTCTACTAATTATATTTTCTCTGTCGGTTCTGGAAAACTTCTAATTGAATAGTTGGTTGACCAACTGAGTTTTCTCTTCATTGTGGGTTGTATTTCCTGTTCCTTACCATGCCTGTTAATTTTTTTTATTGGATGCAAGGCACTGTGACTATTACCTTGATGGATGCTGGTATTTTTGTATTCCTATAAATATTTTTGAACTTTGTTCTGTGATGCCACCGAATTCCTTGGAAACACTTGATCCTTTTAGGTCTTGCTTCTGTTTTTAAGCTCTTTAAGGCAGGACCAGAGGAGTGTTTATCGTAGGTTTAACTTCCTCCATTCCTGAGACAAGACCTTTCTTAGGGTTCCACCTGATGCTCTATAAATTATAAGCTTTCCTCTCTGGTTTATGGGAATAGTAACTAGTCCTATCTCTGTGTGAGCTCTTCATATTGTTCCCTCTACTCCTTCTAGATGGTTCTTTACCTGGATAGTTTCTCCACATGAATGAGCTGATCAGTACTCAATTGAATACCAGAGGGGGAGCCTCTATATCTCTAGATTTCTCTCTCGGTGAAGCTCCCTCTTCTCTGGTACTCTGCCGTGAAAACTCTAGCTGCCTTGGCATCCTTGAATTCCCAACACCATCTATTCAACTCAGGGAGATGACTGGATTCCCTCTCCCTGCTCCACGGCCTCCGTAGTTTCTGTAGGCAGTATGCTAGGGCAATCACAGGGCTCACTGCATTTGTTTTTCATCTCTCAGGAATGACTAGCCCACTCATTGTCCGATACCCAGTATCTTAAAAACCACTGTTTCAGATGTTGTGTCCAGATTTTTTGCTATTTCAGGGAGGAGGGTAAATCTGGTCCCCGTTACTCCATCTTGGCTTGAAGTTACTGTATAATAATTTCACCCATAATCTTTTTTATTTACTCATCTTATACTTTAGCTCCAGAAAATTCAAACCTACTGATTGGAGCCAAGAGAGCTAGAAGAATGGACTTCAGTTGGAACACTACCACCAGCAACACCTGAAATTGAGATACAGAATTTCCTAGCTATAATTTCTCTTCACTCAATAGAGGAGCCTGTCACAAAACCAGGTGACCTTCTTGAGGGTAGGGACCCCAATGCAACACTATATCTTCAGCATCCAAAAAGGTGAATAGATAAAAGTATGTGTTTGATTAGGCAAAACTAAACATAAAAATTCTATCATATCATCACCATTATGAGTAGTGATGTGCTTAGCAGTCTACATACATACATTATTTTACCCAAATCTCACAACAATCACTTTGGGTATGCATCAGAACACTTTACTGATAAAGAAACTGAGGTTTATAAAGGTTAAATAGGTTCCATAATACTACACAACTGGTGAGTGACAGAAACAGAAATCGAGAAACATCTAACCATGCTCTTAACCTCTATGTAATACTACATTCTATGAAGTTTTTCTAAACCACAGGTTTCCTTGCTGAAAAGCTAACCTCAGATTATGTTATCTAAGGCACCTGTACCTATCCACCCTGTATACAGGGCTCTCATACATCGATATGGAACATTTCCACCAAAGAACTGATTATTACTTTACAATTACCTGCTTCACCTCACATGAGCAGTGGTGAAGAACTTGGTGCTGGGTGACTTCATAAAATGATTTGTGCAGTTTGGTCCCAAACTCCTGTGTGTCAGCTGCCTAAAATGTGTCAGAGATAGAATGTGTTAAGTTCCAGTATTGGCACCCAAAAAAGAAGTACCCACAGGAAGTTTATATGGAAAGGGGACAAGACAAATAGGAAGGCAAACCACAGACACTGCTCACGTCATGTTAGGAGTTTTGTTAGTTCCTGTGGGCACAGGAGAAGTAGAAAGAAGGCCTGAAATACTTGGCATTAAACAGGTAGTAGTGGTTCCTATATTTCTTCCAATTTCTGTTACCTAACCAAGATCTTTCAAACAAGGTGCTTTTTTTCCTCCTATCTCTATAAGACATAAATATCCCATGGATCCATCTGTTTGTGAATGGGTTTTGTAAACTGCTTCCCTCTAAAAGAAGTTCCAAGAGAGCAAAAGTTCCACTGAACAACTAAGGCTGGTATAAGAACTTTTCCTTAGGTAAATCTTTTAGGGAGGAAATAAACAAAATAATACAGTTTGCATTAAGGAATGGGTAACAGCCTCTACCTTTTAGTATAAAAAATTGTAGGATGTCAGAAGTAAAGGGGACCAGAATAATCACCTAATGCAACATATTAGATGTACAGATGAGAAAACAGAAATTCAAAAAGCGGTGACCAACCCAAGATCTCACATCTAGTTAGTACCAAAGTTAGGGATGACATAAGATGGCCAGTAGAGTGTTCTTTTCACTCCCCCTATACTGTCCACATGACCCAGAAAGTTGAAACTATGATAAAATGCACTAGATTATAAAAGTGTTACACTCTTTGACCTAGCATCTCTACTTGCAGAAATTTATTCTAGGAAATAATTCAAAAGAAGCAAGACAGCTACAGTTACAAACAATAACACATTATTTAAAAACAAAAAGCTTTAAGCTTTGGTCTCTTAATGTGGTTGTTTTTTCCTTGAAAAGGGGGCTGTATGAAGTAAGAAATTTGTTACCAAAAGTACACAGGATGAAGGAATTCAGAAAGTAGAAGATATTATCTAAAGCACTATTTATACTGGCAAAAGGAATGTAAACAACGTAAATGTTTATCATTAGGGGAATGTTTTATTAAATTAGGTTAAACTGACATAGTGGAATACTAGGTAACAATACAAATTCTAAGACAGCTGAAACAGGGAAAAGTCAAGTTATATATGAATACAGAACACTTTGGTTACAGCTATGTAATATATGAGATAATATGCCAAAATGTTAAATTAGAGTGATAAAGTTTATAAGTTATTATTTAAAATGTAATGTGTAGCCCACACAGTGTGGCTCAGTGATGGAGTGCCGACCTATGAATCACAAGGTCATGGTTCAATTCCTGGTCAGGGCACATGCCTGGGTTGCAGGCTCAATCCCCAGTGAGGGGTGTGCAGGAGGCAGCTGATCAATGATTCTCTCTGATCATTGATGTTTTTATCTCTCCCTCTCTCTTCCTCTCTGAAATCAATAAACATATATTAAAATAAAATAAAATGTAATGTGTATATTATTTTCAAAAAAAGTTTAAGAAATAAAGCCACAGATATGGAATAAATGTGTTATCCCCATTAATAATACCAAATGGTTAGCACACATTCCCAAAAGGAAGGAAAGAAACTAACATCTATTGAGAACCTACCATATGTTATGCACTTTCACATTGAGCCCTCACCCTCATAATCACTCTCTGAGGTACTATTAATTTTTCCAATTTATAGATGAAGCTCAGAGAAATTAAGTACAGGCCTAAATCCACATAGCTAGTAAGTAAATAAGCCAAGATTTGAACATAGGCCTCTGATTCCCAAACCTGTTATATACCATTCCATACTGCCAGATAAATATCATACTGATGGCTGCTCAGTTATTTTCAATGTATCCTGTCACCATGAGGTAATAGAACATTCTTCAACAAGGAACTGAGAATCACTGATCTAATCCTAGCTCTGCTCATAACTAGTTGTGTGACCTAAAGGAAGTAGAAATTTTAAATAACTTGTTTTCTCATTTATAAAATAGTATACACACCACAATCCATTCAACAAATATTTATCCTTTTTTTGGTAATCCTCACCTGAGAATATTTTTCCCATTGATTTTTAGAGAGAGTGGAAAGAAGGGGGGAGAGGGAGAGAGGGAGAGAGGGAGGGAGGGAGGGAGGGAGGAAGGTACGGAGGGAGGGAGGGAGAGAGGGAGAGAGAGAGAGAGAGAGAGAAACATTGATATGAGAGAGACACATTGATTGGTTGCCTCCCTCATGCACCACGCCAGCCAGGGCTCCACAAATATTTCTTAAAACACTCACCACAGGTGGCTCTGTTGGTTGGAGCATCATCCCGAACACCAAAAGGTTGTGGGTTGGATTCCCGGTTAGGGCACATTCCTAAGTTGCAGGTTCTATCCCTGGTCAGGGCGTGTACAGGAGGCAACCAATTGATGTTTCTCTCTCACATTGAGATCTCTCTCTCTCTCTCTCTCTCTCTCTCTCTCCACTTACCATAGGCCTGGTACTACATAGGATCACAATAGGATCTAATTCAGTAACATTCCTAAAAGCACTGTACATATTACTAAGACAGGCGTAATGTCATCAAATCCCTGGCACTTTAAAGCATCCCCAGTCTCCTACTAACTTGAAGAGCCTGAAGGCAGATCTTTCGGAAGCTGCAGCTGGTGCTGCCAGTCACAATACTCATGATGGAATTCACAGCCACAGAGAGTGAGGTCTGGAGTTTCTGATGAACCTAGGAAACATAACAAGTAAGGGGAGACCACAATCTGCTGGTTCAGAGAATCCCAAAGAGACCAAAGATTTCAGCCAGAGCGAGATTTCACAATTCTTCCCCCTCCATCAACAATAGTTACTGAAACCATGACATGTAAAGGACACTTAGGATTGAAAGAAGTAAAAAATGTTTTCTCATTTCACAGGGATGATTCACTGACACACACACATTCAGAAAAGACAAGCAATAAGACACTGGGTCATTAAATAGATACGCTTCCAATTTAAAAACAAAAAGCATTAAGCTTTGGTTTCTTAGTGTGGTTGTTTTGGCCATATAAAAGAAGAAATATGTTACCAAAAGTACACAGGATGAAGAAATTCAGAAAGTAAGGAAAGAGAAAGTGGTGTTATAAGGGCTAGGAAATGGGGGCAGATGTAAGATCCATGGAGCAGTAGCTCCAGAAGGATGTGTGGGGAAGGGAGATGTGGGTAAGGCAGGGGTGCATTATGAGTCACTTTTCTCTATTATTTCACCCCTATTTAGTAAAACTTACCTACTGGGGGGTAAAGCTAAGCAAGCTAGTTACAGTGACCCATGTAAGTTCAAGCTTGAGTTCCTAGGCTAGATGCAGTGTACACGATCAGCTCAGGGGACAAAAGAGGAGAGGAAGAGGCATTAGGAAGGACAGGGTCTCAGGCCCTATCTACCATATATTCTAGCTATCATTTTCATGGAGAGAGTAGGAGAAAGAAAACTGTGAATTTCTCATTACCTTGGCAGCCTGGTGATGCTGCTCCAAGGCCTGGTCCACAGCAAACTGGATGGAATCTTGCACCACGCTGTGGCTCTCTTGGAGGATGGTACTGAGATGAGCTGTGAGCAAAGTGTGAATTCCTAAAGGAAGGAAGAATGTTCGTAGCCCTGAGTGAGCATGACCACTTCAAAGCTGTTGCTCATGTGCTGGTTCACTCCTACCCACAAATAATTACTTTCTTAGACTACATACCCCAACAAGGTACAAACTCACCCAATTCCCACTTACAAATGAAAGACAGCTCAGGAAAACTAAAGTGAACAATGACATTTGGGGGTGAGGGGCGTGCCCTGACAGGGAACCCAATCAGCAACTTTTCAGAGCACAGGATGATGCCCAACTAACTGAGCTACACCAGCCAGGGCTAACATTATTTTTGAAGAAACCAGTGTGGGGTCCTGTTTAAGTCCTATCAGAAACATCAATATATACCACATACTACAAACAACGATACTAGTGACTCCGAAAGAGAGAGAACGCCTCCTGTAGTGTTTAACCCTACTGCACTCCTCTCTGAGCAGCACCGTCATGGTGAGCCAATTATTGCCAGTGTGTCGCCAATCCTTTCAGATGTGCTGTGGTACAGAAAAAGTTAAAACTCACAACACTACTCTAAAAACTGCCGGTAAAAGGTCTTTTTAAATGGGAGACTATCTCTGATAAAGTAATCATAGGTACCACTGCTCAGCATCATTCAGAAAAGCTAAAATGTGAGAGAGTTGGGCGAAATATGTCATCAAACAATAGGCTAGCATTGATGATCCTGATGAAACAAAGGAAGACAAATTCCCCCTATAGGACACATGGAGAAAATGCTTCTTAATTAATCTTCCCTTTTTCAGTGTTTTTGTACTCTCCACTGGGTAGTCTGTTCAAATATTCAATAGTGAAACAGCTTATGGCTGGTTGGCTTTCTCAGGGTTGCATTAAGAATGCAAGGCAGCAGAACATTTTCTACCATGAGGCCATGTTGCTTTACTGAAAGGAAAAGTAATATGTGGTTTGCTCAAAAGGGGCCTGGAACTGGAATCAGGGAACATAGATTCTAGGGTCATTTCCACTACCAACTAGTAGTGACAAATCACTTCACTTTTCTCACTTAAATACAGAAAATGGCTTTCTATCACCTGTTCTCACAGGTATTTTGTGCAGATAAACTGGGATAACGTAAATGAAATGTTTTAAAATGTACATTGTAATATTCAAAGGAAAAATACTGCTATTGCTATGATGATGTCATTTGAATTACTATTTTCTACAGTTTGATTCTAAGAATAGCCTCAAGAAATCAGCTAGAAACCTTTTAAAAGCAGATATTTAATTAAAAAGCTACAAGTTTCTTCCTAAAACTGTAGATACTAACAGATGCCTTTAACGTTGTGGCAAAATAACAAGTTAATCATAGAAAAGTTACCATGACAAGGTGGGCAGAAGGCCAATTAAGTGGTTTTTTAAGACACTGGAAGCAGACTGTAGTTCTACACAATCTGTTTCCTAAAAGGAGCTCTAGAGAAAGCTTTCAAGGGTATACGAAAAAAAGAGGGGGGAAAAAGAAAAATTATTATATCTATATCCATATATCTATACCTACTTACCCTCATAGTACATCTTCTTCAAAGGCTAGTCCTAAACTACCAGATGTGTAAGGAAATTTTAAAAGATACTCTTTTTATTAATGCAGCAATTCATTTTCATTTAATCCAGTACTGAATACAACTACCTGAGATGCTGCAGGCCTTTAAAGTCAAGCTAAACAGAGGTGTTTAAACTATCACAGTACTACAAGATTGATAGGTGACACTGGCTTCTGAGGAATATGAGTTCATAGATATGTTCAATAGATTCAGAGCATGGTATCAGATTTTATTTTATGTCGTCCTAAAGAAGATTGAATATGGTGTTCCTGTTAGCAGATCTAAATAAAAAAGCCAAAATATCACAGATTTTTGTTGTTGTTGTTAATATTCACCCAAGGATATTTTTTCCATTAATTTTTAGAGAGTGGAAGGGAGGGAGGAAAGGAGAGAGGGAGAGGGAGAGAGAGAGGGAGATTATTTATTGATTTTTAGATAGAAAGAAACACACACACACACAGAGAGAGAGAGAGAGAGAGAGAGAGAGAGAGAGAGAGAGATGTGATTGATTGGTTGCCTCTTGTACATGCCCCAATCAGGGCCAGGGATTGAGATTGCAATAGAGGTACGTGCTCTTGACCCGATGCAGGCCAATACTCTAACCACTCAGAAAACCAGCTAGGGCCAAAATATCACAGATTTTGTCTTAAGAGGGTCTTTAGACTTGAAAGGGCCTTTGATATCACCTAGCCTAATAATCTTATGTTAAATAAAGGGTGGGGCAAATGTAGGATTACAGCTGTTCTTATGGAAAATAATATAATAATTAATAATACAAGAATAAACTGTGTTTCATATACTCTGAACTATAAACCTACTTTTGCCCTACCCTGTTTATAAAAAGGAGGATCAAGTGATTTATGTAACTTGCTTCCCAAAAATAATTGAGGAATTTCATTGCAGTACCAAAATTAAACTCAGGTGTCTTGATTGTACCCTGAAATCCTTTCCACAATACTAAACTGCTCCTCTTATCAGCCTCTACCATGTGAGCACAGCCAGATAACAACCCTAGGCTTCTTCACCTTTGACTTCCCTGCTAGAAGCCTCTTTAGTTTAGGTCTCTTCTATGTTCCCATTCCAGGGCCTTGATGAATGGAATAGTGGGGCACCAAAGAACACCAGCTCCTCAAATAAAGAATTGCAAATCAGAGCCCAGGGAAGCAGTGTTTGTCTTCTAAAGAATATACACATGATGGGGAAAGAGAAGAGTGGCATGGGTGGTAGGCAGCAGGAAGAATCCCACAGCTGACAATGGTTTGTTCATTACATAGCTGGTACCAGGCAACATGAGCTCTGCTGATCTGGGGTTGTTGGCTGTCTCATTTCTCCTATGACTCAGTGGGAGAAGGGCCACATCAATGCCCAAAGAACAGAATCCCAGGCAAAAGCATCAGCCCACAGAGAAAGAACAGAGAGACATACCAGGAACACAAAAGAAAGGTTATCAACCTTCCCCCAGAAGCTTATAAGCTCTACTTTTTGCTACTTCCTTCACAGTTTAGAAGGCACTGAGAAACACACTTACCTTCCAGGGGCTATTGGATTAAAATGTGTAAGCCAACTCCCACTCATACTCAGTGTTTTCAAACTTTACTATATTTAAGAATCACCTGAGAATCTTGTTAAAAATGCAAATTCTTGAATTGTACTAGATTTTTACATTATAGCAAAATAATGAGTTAATCCTTGGTACAGGAAGCTGACATTTTCAAATATTCCAGGTGAATCTGATGCATGTTTTTCATTGACCACAAAACAGTGAAATCATTGCTTAACCTCTAACAGAGAGAACCTTTCTGAAAACAGGTTATCACCCATCTATGAGATAAGCACCCAAGGCTCCCCCTTGTACGCCTAAAGGACAATTTCTCCCTTTTCAGAGGTATATGTGGCAATCAGAAAGACAGAAACATCAATGTTGAGAGGGAATCATTGATCGACTGCCTCCTGCCTGCCCCAACTGGGAATTAAGCCCGCAACTCGGGCATGTGCCCTGACCAAGAATTGAACCTGGCCCTCCTGGTTCATGGGTTGATGCTCAATCACTGAGCCACATTGGCTGGGGTAAAGTCTCCTTTTCTTTATTCTCTTAACATGTAAGCACACCCATGCTGGCAGCCCAATTCTCTTATACCTACCCCAGAGTTCCATTTGCTGGACTGGACACTGACTGTGGAAATCCACAAAGAGAATGAGCAGCAGAGTTTGCCCCTGAAGGTCCATATTTTGAGACTGATCCCCCTCGCTGGATTCCACCTGATAACTCACATCTGGAAGCACCATATCTAGAGAACAAGGTATTGCACATTATTCTAAGATAAATAAAGCCCTCAAAATGCTAACTGAATAAAGAACCTATACCTCAAAAAGAGAAAAATCTGAGATAAATCTAAATTTGAACACTGCCTTCTCCTGAATTTATTTCTCTATCCACAGGATGGAAGCAAATAAAGTGATTCTCAGGAAGAACATCAAAACAACTAGGTGTGCAAGATGCAAACCAAACAGCACTCCTTAGCACTTGCTGAGAAGCATTAAATAATAAATTCATGCATCCCTTATACAACTTTCTAAGGTAGGTATCACTAGTAAGCGGCAGAGGTGAGAGTCAAGCCTGAGTAATGATAACAGCTAACTTGTATGGAATGCTTACTATATGCCATGTACAATATTAAATTCTTTATATGTACTATCTCAACATTTAGACTTCACAACACTATGGCATAGGACCTATTCTTATGCCTTTTTACAGATAAGAGGAGAGGCATAGAGAGGTTAAATATGTTGCCCAACATGAGAGAGTAAGTGGTAGAACTGTTTTAAACTGACTCCAAAATCTGTGCTTATAATCAGAATACTACGTGAATTCCCAAGTAATCTGATGCCCTGTGGTCACTTTCTAGCACCTTTATCCTTTAGAATACAATCAGGATAACCCTTAATTCCACCCAGATCCATATAGAAAAGTACCTCCATGGGATCCTGGTCTGTCCTTCAGTGTAAAGGGGGGGGGGGGAGATGAGACAAGGGGCATTTTCTACATTATTCATCTCCAAAATTAAATGAGAAAGTTTAGGCATCACAAATTGACAAAAAATAAAGGAAATCAATAAAACATGAAAATAAAAATGAAAGAGAAAAGAAGATATGGAGAGCCCTAGAGATTTTAAAATCCTAATAACATGACATCCTGTTAAGACCAAACATTGTTTCTTCACAAAACCTCTTACCTCCAGAGACCCTGTCCAAGGACACCCTCCTTTCAATCCAACCTCTGGAATAACTACTACTTAAGAAAAAATAGCCTTACCCCAAGGCTTACTTCCTTGATGAAGATTCCATCATTCCCCTGAGACACTGACCATCCCAGGAGGCTTCAACCTTCTCATGCCAGTCACAATACCTCTTCCCTAATGGTCGTCTTCCTCAGGATACAATTGACCAGATTACCTTCCAAATGTCAAAGGATTCTAGCTAACAACAGTCAAGCTCAAGACTGTAAACTTCCTAGACATCAACTCATGGTTGTATATACCCATTTCCCAGTTTTATTTGTTAGTCTAGGTTTTAAGCATCCAACTTTCAACATGATTCACCCAAAACTAGTATTGGTTAGGCTCTACGTGAATATTACCGCCAGGTTCCTAGCTTTATTACTATAAGGTTTATACTCCTGCCTTGTATTTATGTGGTGTTTTAATTTTTTTCTAAGTAATTATATGTGGGTTTTCTCATCTCATTAGGAAACATTTCTCTTCCACAAAGATGCAATTGCTCCCTTACTTTTATAAAACCCCAGAACTGATGGATTAAGGTACAACAGAAACCCTCTGAACAAGTCCCTAGAAGATGAAGGCCACTGGCTACTCCGGGAATAGAGGAGGCAAAAGAGGAAGTGAGAGAAGAACCAGCATCAATATGGAATGCAAAAAACGGCTCAACTCTGATGGGGGCTTTGCCTCTTGACACCATTTGCCTCACTGCAAGTGGTCTCTCAAACTTACACCTGGTATTTGTTTCCTTGCATTTCTCTGATATTCTCCAGTTTTCTTGATTCCTGTGCAAAGAGAGGGAGATATACCTCTATCCAAATTGAGATCCAAACTGGGCACCACACACAAGTGGTACTTCTTCCAGTCAATGAAATAAGAGGTATCTTTGAAGACAGTAGTAATTGATTGTTCCTGGCTTGGCAATATCAGAGGCAGACCCGAAGGTCCATATAGAAATATGTATAGGTGCTAAAGAAAACTTCCAAATTTTAGTTTTTATGTGTATTCATTTGCATAAAACAAACATGTAACATTAACCTGGTTCACATTCCCAGAAATAAAGTAGTGTGCTAGGCAATTACATATTAAGCCTTTTATACATTGAAGATAAGTGTCAGGTATCAGAGATATTAGATAGATCCACTAGAATCCTCAGAAATTTATTCTGGGTTTAATGAGTATGAGCTACAGGTATAGTATTAGGACAATTAGTTATTAATTCATCCTACTCATTCAATCATAGATTTGAGTGATATGTCAGGTTAAACACCATACTAAGTTCTGGGGATACAAAAATGAATATCCAGATTTAATACCTATCTTCAAGTTATCATATTTATAGTATAAGAGAAACATGTAAAACCAGTAAACTGTAATACAATGTGATATACACAAAGGAATATTTTCCAACAAGTTTTTGAGTATATGCAGATTGATAAGGAAACTCCTCACCTTCTCTAATCCTATTCTCTAACTAAGACAAAGATGGACAGGACCCTGAAATGGTTTCCTTCTCACTCTCATCCTCTCTCCTACCCAGGGTTTCTCTATCTTAGCACTATTGACACTTTAAGCCAAATAATTCTTTGTTGTGTGCGGCGGGAGAAGGGCTGTATTGTGCATTGTAGAATGTTTAGCCGCACCCCTGGCCTTTACCCCTCCCTCCATTCATGACAATAAAAAATGTCTCCAGAGTCCAGCTGGCGTGGCTCAGTGATTGAGCATCAACCTAAGAAACAGGAGGTCACAGTTTGATTCCCAGTCAGGGCATATGCCCAGATTGCAGGCTCAATCCCAAGTGTGGGGCATGTAGGAGGCAGCCAATCAATGATTCTCTCTCCCTCTTCCTTCCTCTGAAATCAATAAAAATACATATATTTTTTAAAAATGTCTCCAGACATTGCCAAATGTCATCTGAAGGCAAAATTATCCAGTTAAGAACCACTGCCTACCATTTTTTGTACCCTGAACCAAGGCTAATGAGGCCATAATGTATTTTTCCTTCATTTTTGTTTTCATCTTTTTAATAGGAACACAAGGTATTGAGTGTAAAGATTAAAATTCTTACCCAGTAAGCACTGGGGCATTATGGAAAGTCACAACAGAACAAAATTGGCAGTGCCCATAAATGAAGTCTCCATCACAAATCCAAGAACATGAGCTAAGGCCAACACATTCACTGTTTAAAGCCAGGGAAGCTTTGAGATGCTGCCAACTCAGAATAAGAGTCGAGTATCTGGAGAAACCAAGATGGCGGAATAGGTAAACACCGGAGATTGCTGCCTCGCACAACCACTTCAAAAATACAACTAAAAGACATAACGGACATCATCCAGAACCACAGGAAGGCTGGCTGAGTGGAATTTCTACAACTAGAAGGAAAGAGAAAAGCATACCGAGACTC